AGGGAGGTTTACTTAATAATAATATCTCTTCCGGAGCACTTTTGTGTATTTTGGGAGGTGGCATTAGCAAAAATGGGGGTGGAAATAGCAATTCTCTAAAATAAATGTCATTAAGTATGACCTTTAAACATAAAAAAAAAAAAAAACCTGTATTCATATTTATGTCAAAAATAGTAAAAAAAACAATATATATATCCAATTTTTAAGCTTGTTAATAATTTAATAATTTAAACTTTACAATAAGAACATTATTAGGGTCACAACCTGTTTAACAAAGTTACACTCGATTATATTCTTATTAATAATACATTATGTGATTACATAGTTGCAAATAAATTATATCCCAAAACTAAATATCATAATATGCGATAAATATTTAGAATGAATTCGCTGTTTTAGTATTAATTTAATTACTCAAGTAATTGTCTGAATCTTTCATGGATTTCAGTGTAAAGCTTTTGGTAACGTTCACGAAGAACTTCCTCGCCTTCTGCGGGATCCTTAAATACAAAAAGTACCTATTTAATATATATAAAGTACAACCAATTTAAAGATACGATAAACTTACTTCAAACTTCATAGAACTAAGTTTATACAAAAGGTCATCCATCCTTTCTTTGATTTTTGCCCATGTTATTTCACCATTTGTGACTTCGACGGCATGAGTAGCTGCATTATAAAATCCAATCAAATTTTTAAGCATCCAGGTGGTCTAATGCAAAAATTGGTGTTAATTTTACAACATACTACATAGAAATCTAATTATCTTAGTGTACAGTAACTGAATAGTGCCTATATAGTTACTATTAAATTTAATAGTAAATATGGTCACTATTTCCATTATGCAGCTGTCGTACATTAAGAGATCTAGGTATCATTAAGCTGCTGAAATGCAGAAATACAATCAACATGTACCTTATAAAATGGACAATTACGATCGTATGAAGAGTATCCATTTTGTTGTAGAAAATCATCTTTGATGATCTTAGCAATTTCCAATGTGATTTTGTCTGCTTCACCAAGTGCACTCTAATAAAGAATTGAATTATTCGATGCAAATATTAAACGGATTAAAAGAATGAAAACGATATGCAAACCTTTCCAACAAGCTGGACAATTTCTGAAAGATCTTCTTCCTTTTGAAGAACTTCTTTGGTTTTGTCTCTTAAAGAAATAAATTCAGGCTCTATACTTTCATAGTAATTTTCTAAACCTTTGAGATATTTTGAATAACTCAAAGACCAATTGACGGATGGAAAATGCTTGCGTTGAGCAAGTTTTTTATCTAAACCCCAAAATACTTGAACAATACCAAGCGTTGCTGAAGTAACTGGATCGGAAAAGTCTCCACCCGGCGGTGAGACGCTATTATATTCGAATAGTAGATAATATTAATTTTAGGTATACACATGATCATACACCTGCGTAGATTCATGTATGATAACGTACGCTCCTACAACAGTTACACTTCCTTCTCGTTTTGGATTTCCAAGACATGTAACTTTTCCAGCACGTTCATAGAAAGATGCTAACCGAGCACCCAAATACGCAGGATAGCCACTATCTGATTTATAGTAATTAAAGTAATGTTAAAATCCTTTTATTTATCGTAATACACTGCATTCAGTACCCGAGATATAAATTAAACCATTCAAAAACACCCAATTAATTTGATTAGTATTCGGAGTACTGTGTAAAGAGGAGAGTAAAATTCAAGAGGTATTTTGTACGATCAGACATTACAAGTCTTCAAGCCTAATTTATACCCGGATCTTAACCTATGGTTACTATTCTAGGGGTACTGAATGCAGCACTTTATCATATATTTACCTGCTGGCATTTCGGCTAAACGACCAGATATTTCTCGAAGGGCTTCAGCCCAACGGGAAGTGGAGTCTGCTATCATGGAAACATGCTTGCCCTGATCACGGAAATACTCCGAAAGTGTAATACCTAGAATAAATAGGAAAAAAATCATGTCTTTAAATAATACAATTCGTGTATTAAATCTTTGTTAAAAAAATTACAAACCAGTATAAATAGACGCTTCACGAGCTGCCACTGGCATGTTCGAAGTGTTTGCCACCAATGCAGTGCGTTTCATTATGGACTCTTGACGGCCGTTTATTTCGATTGAAAGCTAAAATGATAATAGCATTCTTTGTAGTTATTTGATAGAACATATAATAGTAATACAGTAAACAAACTAATTATTTACTTCTGGGAAATCCATTAATACTTCAGCCATTTCATTGCCTCTTTCTCCTAAAATAAAATAAAACAAATCAATATTAACCATTTCATTAATATGAAGATTATTATTATTAATTAATAAATTACCACATCCAACATATATAATGACATTGGAGTTAGAATACTTCGACAAAGATTGAGAAATGACTGTTTTCCCGCATCCAAAAGCCCCAGGGATAGCAGTAGTACCACCTTGCACACACCTGTAGTAACAACAGTTAGCATAATATTTCTATACGCCTAAAAGTGAAATGATAATTTAAAATTATTAATTTTAGATTTGGCATTAGTAATAAACCTTACGGGAACAGTGAATCCAAAACTCGCTGACCGGTAAATAGAGGGGAATTGGCTATTAATTTTTCAGTAACTGGGCGAGGTGATCGAACGGGCCAAAGTTGCAACATTGAATGTTTAGACTTTTGACCTTCAAATTCAATTTCTAGCACTGTATCCTATTTATTTATTCATTATATACAATTGAGTACTTCTTAAAATAAAAATATATTATCAACTTGTATATTTCAGGTGTACCTCTAAGCTGTAGGATCCCTTTTCTGCGATATATGTAATTGTGCCAAGGGCTTTGGGTGGCAACATAATGTAGTGATCGTTCACTAAAGAGTTTTCAAACACCTTGCCGTAAATATCTCCACCAGTAATGTGATCTCCAATCTAGAAATTAAAAATAATGTAAGCCTACTGGAAAAGTCAAATATATTGTAAAATCGTTACCTTATAGTTAGAAGGTTCAAATTCCCAAAACAACTTTTTGTCCAATGCAGGAGTGGAAATTCCACGTGGAATGTAAATACTACGGGAAAGTTCGTAGATTTCCTTTAATGATACAAAGTAATCAATAAATAATATATAAATAAGATTAATGACAGAACAAACAATTAGGGTTGTTAATGGAGTGGCATACTCTGGAGCCACTCCGGAGTGAGCCCAACCCAAGTTGGAGTGGGTTAAAGATATGCTTAAAAATCTGGAGTGAAACTGAAGTGAACTGGAGTGGCTCTAAGCAAACCTGGAGTGGCTCCGGAGTGAGCCCAACCCAAGCTGGAGTGGGTCGAGGAGTTGCTTAACCCAACCCATTAACAACCCTACAAACAATATTACTTCACCTTTAATGGTCGTTGAATTCCATCATAAATATTGGACATCAAACCTTCATAATAAATAATAACGTTGAATTACAGTCGAAACAGAAAAATATGCTATTAAATAGACAATCATACCAGGTCCTAACTCAACAGAAAGAGGCTTTCCGGTTTTTAATACGGGATCACCTACAGTTAAACCAGCTGATAAACGCGAATGGATATTCTGTTAGAGTCGTTTATATAAAATTTGTCAATTTGTATTTTAGGGATGATTTCATACAAGTTTCTTCATAGACTTGAATAGTCGCTTTGTCGCCATCTATACGAATAACTTCACCAACAAGCTCTTCATGACCAACTCTGACCTTTAGAATATATCAACGCGAAAATTTTGTTTGTCAGAATATTCACTAAAGCAAAACGTTATAATTTTATATTAATAAATTACATACCAGCTCATACATAGCTGTTCCTGTCATTTGTTCCGCAGTTACGACTAGATTCCCAAAAGTTCTACTTGTAAATACTGCTACGTAAACTGATATATGAAGTCATTATTATTGATAAAGAAGTCGTTTTATACCTGGACCAGAGACGGCGAACACATATCCATAATCACTCTCCTTTTCAGAGTCTTTTACTTTCGGTAAAGTTTCCTTTGCTCTACTTAATGCACCAGCCTAATAATTGTATGCGTTAATTTATGATTATTTTACTCAAATCCCTTTTACAAAATCTTAAATTTTGTATATACCATGTTGTAGCAATGAAGAGTTTAGTCCCTAACAGGAGACTTATTTAATCGATCACATAATAAGTACCCTAGCCGTGAGCTCCGGCCCAATTTCACCAATCAAAATTCAGGATCTGGTGTAACGAAAAAATCAAATATCTCTAAATTTTGCATGTGAAATCACCCTTCGCGTTCTAATAAAAAAAATTCTTATCTCTCTTTATGACCATAACCCATCCTAATTATATGATTTATCGTTTTTTAGTTATGTTCTATATTCGATTGTTTTGAATTTGAGCCCGGACCGGAAGCTTAAGACCCGACACTTCGTCTTCGACACCATTACAAAATAAACGTGATTATCATATCAGATCTATAGATTTACAAATTCACTACGAATTTATTCGGGCACACAAAACGTCATGTACATAATCGTGTAACGAAGTATATAATTAGGAATCTAGACACTTTTGCAGTAACGTGATATGGCGCATTGATATGGCGCATTGTGGCACATTTGAATAAGTGTTTTTGACTTTGTTAGATCACTTTCGTAAAATGTTTAATTAGGTCAAATTATCGACGCACTTAAATTTTATAGGCAAAATTTGCTTTTTAGGCTTTTGAATTATAAAAAAGTTGCGAGTTTAAATTTTTATAAAAGTTTACAAATTCTCTAGTGTTTGAAGATTTTTTTTATAAAATCTTAAAAATAAAACAAAAAATAGTCTAATTTGCAAAATTGATTAGTTTTTTTATAATTTTTATGATTTTTACGGTTTATTTATAAGTTATATATATACATTATTTATTTAAAATAAATAGAGTTAAGTTAATAAAAATTAAGCAAAAATTTTTTAAGTAAATTTTTTTAAAACTTTAAATAATGATAATTTAACAACTTAATTAAATTTTATAAAAAATTTTTTAAATAAATTTTACAAACTTTTAGAATTTATTTTAAAAAAATTTTATTAAATTTAATTTTGTTAAGTTATTAGTATTTGAAGTTGTTTTAAAAAAAAATTAATAAAAACAATTTGCTTAATTTTTATTAATTTATTTTAAATAATAATAAACATTAACTAAATTAATATTTTTAATTATTTATTTTAATTAAATAATATTTATAACTTTAAACAAATTATTATTTTTTTTATTTTTTTATAAGCAGTTACACTAGTGTTTTATTAAGATTTTTGAAATTATTATTGCAATTACATAAATATATCTAACAACTAAGTTTAGCATCATAAGGATATAACAACTTAGTGAAATAAATAAGTTGTTAACTTCTCAAGTAGTAAGTTGAAAGTTCAAAACCTACTGATGATGAAAATTTAGAAAACCATCTATGTTATATTAGTATTACAGAAAGTAAATAGTATTATGATAATGATATTCCATTAATTAGTTAGGATCAAATACCTGTAACATAGTTATATTAGCTTAATTAGTAGGTCATGAGACATCTGTGCAATATTAGAGTTATACAAATAAATGCAAACTAATATTGGGCAGTGCAAACCCAAGATAACTTCTCATAATTATATAAATCTGTAAACTAAGAAATCAGAGTTTACTTGGAAAGATCTGAATAGAGAGATAACATAGATCTTTAATAGTATTATTATAAAGACTAAATTTAGAAAACAGATATTAATATAAAAGAAATTAGGTAGGCAAGAACCTCAGATAAGAAGTATTACCAACCAGATTATTAGAAGTTTTAAATCAAAAAAAAAGATCTTAAGAAGCAGACTCTAGAATATCAGAGACAGGACATAGTCCTACTAGGCTATCTAAATTGAAAGTCTGAGATTAGAAGTAGTAGTATATTATAATTACTAAAAATATACTGTGAAGTCAGTATTAGGGTTTAGATAAATTTTATAAGGGCAAGCTATGTTAACAATAAAGATTAAATATACATAGTTAGTTAGCAAAAAGACTCTTTAGAGCCTTACAGTTAGATAACATACTCTGAAATATATAACAACTTAACAGATATATAGAAAGAGAGATTATAGTTAGGTTAGACAGCACTTAGATATACAAAAACTTGTGTACTATTTGTCAGTATAAGTATATGGAACAGAGTATTTAAATAGGTAATCTTTTAATAGATTGCAAGTATGACAACTAATATAGAACCTGCTATGCAAGTAAACTACTTAAAATAGACAACCAAAAGTTGTATATGTAGCTAGTTGTATACTTATCTTGTACAAGTTATATAATCATAATTAAAATACAATAAAGCCAATAGTTCCTAATAATTATAGTCTTAGCAAAAGCAAAAAATAAAAAATAAAAAGTTTAGCATTATTTGACTATCTTAATGGCACCTAAGTGCAACCTATTATATTATTTCTAGCAGAAGTAAGCTGCTTGTCTGATTACCTAAAGTTCATAATAAAAAAGTTTTTCTTCTTCTATAACAAGCTTCTAAATTATTTTTTTAATTTCTTTTTTGATTTATTTTTCTTTTTTTTTTACTTTTTTCTTTCTTTTTTCTATCTTTTGCTGAGAAACTTTCTTCTTTTGCTTAAATTTTTCTTTTTTTTTTGTTTTTTTTTTATTTTACTTATTATTATTCTTTTTTTTTCTATATATTAATCTTTTTACAGTATATTTTTTAGACTTGTTTATAGAAGATGTTTTATACTATCTCTGCTACTATATTCATAAACTGTTGTTTTGTTTTTGTATTTAAAAATTGTAATAATCTATTTTGAGTTACTCTTGGAATTAGGTCTTTGATTAGTGTTTTTCTTATTTCTATTTCTTTTCTTTCTGTTTTTTCAAAAAATGTCATATATAATATATTGTTACAGTGTTGTAGTCTTCTTAGTACAATACAACTAAGTAACAAGATTACCTAATACAGTGATTGACTATTGCAAATATATATGGGATAGAGGTGTAGTAGTTCACTTTATTACATAGCAGTAGGCAAACAGTTCAAGATAATAATAGTATATAGATTAACTTTTTATTAATAACACACATAGTGACAACCTTGCTTGTAGAAATTATTCTAGAAAGGAAATATTACACTTTATTATTAAAAGGTCATTATGTTTAGATTGAAGTATAGAAACTTAGAATTGGCAGAAAAGAGGAAAAGATATCCTTTATATATCTTTTTATCTAGTGAAGGTAATAGAGGTTTGAGTGATATCTCTTAATATTGTACTTGGAGTAGTGGGGATTGTGCAGAGGCAAGTAGAGTTTGTATAGGAATAGTTGGAACAATGTTTATATATATTTGTTATTTGTACTTGAAATACTTGAGGCATGTGTTAAAGTACTTAGGTTTGTGCAAAGACACTTAAGATTGTGCAGAGACATCTGGAGATAATGTTGGGATACTTAGGATTATACAGGAATACTTAAAAATTATAAAAGAGATACTTGGAATTCTTGTACTGTATTATTTGACATAGTAAATTGTACTAGGATATATGAAACTTGTTTAGAGGTACTTGGAGTTTATAAGACAATAATAACATTATAGATGTTACCTAATGTCATATGTCTGTATTACACTTCTAATAGTCAATTAAGATTCTATTATTTAACTACTATATACTATAATATAACTATGCTAATAACTAATAATAAATATAATATAAAATACAATAATAAATATATAATAATTACTAATAATATAATATACTATGTTATACTAAAAATCTACTTTGTAACATTTTTCTCTTCTTAAGAATTTTGTTTCACAAAATTTCTACAACTTTTGTACTATATACAAAAGACAACTAGTTAAACTTAACTCTATTCATATTACTGATATGCTTAAGAGTCAATTTCTTTATTTAATAAATTTGTTTATAGCCTAATGCTTTAAACAATTAATAAGTTCTAGTCTAAACCTTAATTCAACTTACATTAATAGACTTGTTATAATCTGGTTTTTCTATTAATAAAGCTTCTAAATAGTAGTCATATGCTAAGACTTTGTTGATTAAATCTGGGTACTGTAATTGTTTACAACAATATTAAATAATTTTTTGTTTAAAAAAAAATATTTGTCAAAATTTGTATTGCCACATGTTTAGTCTGTTTTATTTTTGTAATTATAATATTCTTTGTGTCTTCCTTCTCCTAAAAAGTGAGGTCTCTGAACCTTAATTACTAATTTATCTAAAATTAGCAACTTTGTTCTGATTGGTTCATCTATTTATAAATTTAGCAATTACATTGTCTCTATTGTGATTGTTTTCTATTAATGAATTTTCTAATCTATTTACTGTTTGTATTTGTAATTATATGATTTACAAATCAGTATTATTTCAAATTTGTTAAATCTATTTCTAATTGATTTCCAAATTTATTAAATTAACTTCTAATTGATTTCTATTTTTGTTTCTTTGTTAAAAAAAATTTGATCATTCTTCATAAAAAGAAAAATATTTATATTTTTACTCTTTTTATCTTTTCTTTTGTAAACTTCTTCAATAATAACAACAACAACAACAACAACTTCAATAATAATAATAACAAAATGCCAAAATATAGCCTTCTAAAAAGTGTTCATCAAGCTAGATGCAATGGCAAAAATGCCTTGTATAGGGCCTTAGAGGTGGTTCAAAATGAAAATAGCTAGTGAATATTTAATTTTAACAAAATATTCTTTTTATTATTATTTTTATAAAGCTAATAAAATTTATATAGCTTGCTTCAATTAGTAGCTTCTCAAAAAAAAAGAATCCAGAGTTTAGAAAAAGAGTTGGAGGAGTTAAGAGAAAATGCAGTAACAAGGATGCAAAATGGGTAGATATTGGAGCAACAGTATACAAAGTTGTTGGATAAAAGAAATAGGTTAAGAGCAAGGTTGGAAAATTATAAAGAGGATTTGAGAAGATTGAGGACAAAAGAAAGAAGAAGGAAAGAGAATAATAATAAGGATAGATTGTTAGATGTTGGGTTTTAGATTATGTTCATTATTATTATTTTTTTTTTATTTTTATAACAATAAAATATATATATATAATAAACTAATA